CAAGGAAAGAAGCTTCAGGTCTTCGTTCTTCAGGTCTTCGGTCTTCAGAGTAGCAAAGCAGGTACTCCCCAAGGAGAGATGAGGCTTGAAACTGAGCAGGAAATGGACATTGTAGGAGGAAAAGCAGGGATTCCGGTGGAGAAGAGAGGAGGAGACATGGAGGTTTCTGGTTTGGGAAGGAGGAGGTAGGGGAAAGTTGGTTATTTCTGGTAAATAATTAGGTTTGAGAGAAAGAGAAAGTAGATCTGAGACATATTTGGGAAACTTTGGTTATCGTGTCTAGAAAGATATTATGTACTTAGGGGCCCTAAAATTAATTATATTGTCTGGAGGTTTGAGGTAAATGCCTTTTGCAATACACTATAAGCACGGCTCTGCATATAGAATATGATTAGTGACTCTTTGGATTATGTATTAGTTTGAAGACCCTTAAAAAAAAAAAGAATATGTAATAATGACTCTTTACACTTGAAATATCGGCTGCGTTACTACTATTTTTCTATAACATGCAACTCAATATACGAACTTGAACTCGAATGGTAACACAACGACATCACTAATACAATTTACTACAAAAATCACTAATTTATTTTGTCTTAATTACTATGAGTGGACCTCTGAACAAAAAAAATAAATAAATAACTGTGAGTGGACATATTATATAATATATATATATATGTGTATGTATGTATGAAATTTATATGTATCTAAAATTCTAACCAGAAGTTGTCCATTTACTCGAGAATTTGTGACTAAACACAAACATATTTGTGAAAAGGTCTTCATGAGTCATGACGACACCATTACATGCAAATTACATACATATATATTTATGTGCAAGGGTCTTTAATAAACGTGTGTACATGCATTAGAGACATTAGACCATGATTCATAACAAAAGTGTCCTTCTATTTTTAGGTGTTTCACGTAATATTTTGTTGTTTTGTTCACTGGTTCATATTTGTATCCCATTGGAATCAAGGTCGAACTCCTCCACCACACTCCACACAGGAAGCCACAAGATAGCCTAAAAATCTCCTTAAGAGGTATTTTATCAAGTTTTATGTAATTTAAAAAGAGCACAATATAAGAGAAAAAAAATTGTTCACTAATTTTATGTTATAATATTCTAAATATATAGAGGGAGTTCAAACTGATTTTCGAGACATATACCTTTTATACATAGTAGTGACAATTATTTTTTTTGTTTAGGAGTCAATCTCTGATTTCGATCATATATCAAAGTCTTTCCTTCATCAAATCTATTACAAATATAAGCCTGAACTTACATATATTCTATTGTCGTATCAAACCTAATCTCAATAATGTGGTATATAACATCATGAACTATGTGTATAACATGCCCCAGCGGGCCAGCCCCACTATGCCGGGGTTTTATAATTGTATGAATATTTAATACGAGACTTTCACTAGCTGACATCCATTATATATCATATTTAAAACCAAACGAAACGAACAGGCCTGAATTCGAGTACTGAACCTAGGTTACCACTTTAGAACATGTTATGTGAGAAGAAGCTTACCAGACTTTGTATTCGAGAACCGTATAATTACATATATTCCTATACTCTCTATAAATTAAACTAGATACTTACAACAGTCTTACAATACAGGAAATTATTCAGAATAACACATTTGTTTCATCTTAATAGACTTCACAGTGTCTAATCTCAAGAGAGCTATTGGAAACTAACTCAGTTGTCTTTTTTATCGTTTAACCTTTCTCAAACAAATAAATGGCATTTTCATGATATCTTTTTTTTCCTAACAACATATTGTATCGCTTAATTCGATCCATCATAAATCGCAAGCACATTTGAACGATACTTGAGGCTAAGTAGACAATGAAAATGCTAGTAAACGTTATTATCAGAGACGTGCTTACCATGTAGTGAAAAAGGCTTTCGCCTCAAGTCTCCAATATATGTAAATTTTTTAGGACCCACATTTTCTTAAGAGGTGGTTAAGTGGTTTAAAATTGGTGTGAGTTTTTTTTTTACATAAGATGTTTTTTTATTTTTGTTTATAAAACGAGAAAAAAAAAGAAATAGATTTAAAATTGAATGGCCTAGCTATCATATCTATAGAAAGAGAACTAGTTAGAGACTTCGATTATGAGAGTTTGGTGAAAGAGTTTATTGAAAAAGAAGGAAAACAAATTATGTTTTAATTAGTTTTTTTAGATTAAGATTTTATTTTTGAATATTTTATATAATTTTAAATTATATTATATTTTTTTATTAAAAATCTCTATTTTTTTTAATAAAAAAAACCCCATTTTTTAAGTTTGTCTTAAGCTCTTATAAACCTTCGCACGGCACTGCTTGCGATAAGTTACCCTCCATATAAATGAGTTATGTTTTGCCATATCAGACGATGGCTAAACGCTTGGAAATAACAGATATGTCACAAAAAAATTTACTTACTAAACGATTTATGAGGATGAGTGTGGATGCATCTTATGTTGGTCAAACGAATTATTATTGCAAGCCACCCAAAAAATATATAAATTTAGATATTAATTACCATTTGATTGAAGGTTTTTTGGGACAATTACAAAACATATATTATTTTAACTATTTAAAAGTAATAATTATCATTTCAATTTGGTAGAATGCATGTTGTTGAACAAAAAACTAGAACATTGGAGAGAAAACAACTCTTGATTTCCTTTAGTGTTCTTTCAATTTTCTGTTATTTTCTTCTCTAGTAAAGCAATAACATATATAACATGAGAGTGGTTGACCGTGCTCTACATGATGGCGGAATTCATTATTGTCTCAATTATATTGTAGATAACTATATATTATGTGCTTGTGATTTATGTACGAGTAACTTCACATTCACTAACTACAATTCATTATACTATATATCATGTTTGAATTAATAAAGACGACATTAATCAATATCGGTAACCAAAGTTTTTCATATTAAGAATTCATTCATCATTCGGAAGAATATGAAACATTTTGTTTTATGAGTTGGAAAAGTGTAGACATTTTGAAAGCAAATGAGCAAATTTTCGGAGAAGTTGTTTTTCGAGTTGTATAAATAACATAGATGCAATATTGCAAATATGAAACGGTGACGTGGAATGAGGTATGCCTTATGGAAGCAAATATAAAGTATAATGTAAATCAGTTTGCTTGTACATGGGAGTCCTTGCACATGTGTGTATGTTTAATATAGATATACATATATATATATTTACTTATTTTTTAAAAATATTGTTATTTATATATATAGGCATAAGGAATAAGTAAGCATCAGTTTGTGGTCACACGCATGGGTTGTCTCTGGTCCCTTTGCGTTTCACTTTTTCACATTTGTGGCCATTTGTAGCCTTCTTATGTCACCCATTTACATGTATATTATATACATACATATACGAGTGTGTTTGCACTTTCTTAATATTTTAAGGTTTTTTTAAAAGTGAATATAAATTCTTAATAGCAAAAAAGTTTGGTTACGAGTTGTGAACATTATCCCGAGCGGTGGGTGCTCTTTTAGGGCTTTGATCATCATGACACCATGCTTACTCCATTCGTTACGTCTTAAAATTAAATTTGCATATCATAAATCTTAACATTTTGTGAATAAACAGTATACTGCTCGCTAAAAATAACACTTTTTCAAGTAGGCAAGTTAGCTCGTACTGCATAGATCACAACAGATAATTTAATCTATAATTACATTCAGATCAGCTTTCGACTAACATATATTCATAGTTTATAACTGTATGATAAAAACAAATACTATAATTCGCAAGACGCTTTTGTTATTTGGCCGGTATCTTGTTGTGTATAGATAGTCTTTCTAAAGAAAATGGTTTTATATAAAATCATTTTGGAAGTCATTTTAAATAAGTTGGTTTTAGTCCCGATTTCAGTGTAGTTTATTCCGAGCATTTCTTGTTTAAGAAAAAAGAATGGTATTCAAAAATAGCAACCAAACTAAAACTTCTAGAATATGGATTGGTTTGATATGACTTTGTTTTCATATGGGGTGTGTCATGTGTGTTTAATTGTTTAAAACATCTACATGTTTTTATTTCAGTTTTTTGTTTACTATGTTTGAATTCGATTTCAATTTCATTTTCATGGATATAGAACACGTATTACTATAATATCCGTGTTAGAAGTTAAACTTAATTCCGTTTTCAGGATATTATATTTTCTATGTTTGGGTTGGATCGAAAATTTTCGATTTATCTGAATTAAAAGTTCAGATAAAAAGTTTATACTTTAAACGTTGGATATGTAAAAAGAATTCATCTGTTTATATTAGGCTTTAGGGTGGACTCAGTGTCCTTATGGATTTGTAATAGATATTAGATAAAAAGAATCAAGGCAGTTTGGGCCAAAAGTCATTTTGGGCCAATTAACCATTTTTAGGCTGATATGTGTTAATACTCTTCTTTTTCCCAAATTGATCCAGATTTTGAATAACTGTTTTTTAAAGAGTATCTTAATCTTGGGTGCAAAAAGTTGTACAATTATTACAAAACAAAAGTAGGTTGAATGAGAGAATCAAATATTTTTGTTATCTTTCCCAATTTTCATTATTCAATTTTATTGAAAAAGCTGAAAAAATTAGCTATTATTTTGGCGAAAATAAGTGAATTTATTTCTTTTTAAAATACTTACACCAAAAAGCTATTTTGTTTTTAAAAATGCACTGTTTAATCAAATATTTCACAACAAATATATGGAGAGTCTGGAGACTTTATTTCTGAAAATTTGGAAACTTAAGTCGTAAAAGTTAAAGTAAGAGAAAAGTTTAAATTATAAGAAGTAAGTTTTAATCTATTTGTCTCTATAAAATAAGTCTTAATCTATTTGTCTCTTAGTAATTTATTTATTATGTTGTAGTTTCAATGGTTCATATTCCAAATATATCTATATAGTTTCCTCATATAATTCCTAACATCTATTATAAAAAACAGGACTAATCCAACATTTTTAACAACAAACGTGATATTTATATATTTATTGGCCCTTTTTTTACAGTGATACTTTTGATATTGTTTTTCCCAATCCGAAATTATACAAACTCCAAAAAGATTATTTTATTCCTATTTTCGGTAATAGTGAACCGTCACCCATTCTCGTACTTCCAAGAGGGAAAAAAAAGAAGTGAAAACGATAAAAAGAATCTTTGAGTAAATCGAAACAGAATATTCCGGTGAAAATCATCACGGCAAAGCGCAACCGCGACGAGAAAAACCAAGCCGTGATCTATCCCTATCGAATTCAAACAAGAACCCTTGCTGCATCAAGTTCCCGATCACCGAAAACCCAACTTTCGGATTCACCGATTGAATCGCCAGACATTGGATCTGTTCCTCCGTCTCGATGAAGTAATTCCTCGGCGGCGGAACGAACAATGCGCCGCCGGCTAATTCAAATTTGAGCCGCGGCATGATCTTTTCCGGTTTCGAAACGCCGGAGATGTTTACGCATAAATCGAATCCCGGTGTAACCTCCGCCGCAATCGGGAGCCGGATCCGTCGTCTCACTGCCGCGATTACCGATCGATACGCCGGTTCAGCTAAAAACGCGAGAGTTGTGCCGGAGTCCACGACGGTTCCGCCGTTACCTGAGTCGTCGATTTCCCAAACGGAAGGATCGATTCGTAATTTCGCGCCGTTAACGAAAATCGATTTCAAGCGAACGTAGTAAAAAGTCGGGGACAATGGATTCGTGAGCAACGGAGTGAATGAAAGCTTCGAAACAGCGTCGGATCGAACTCCGCCGCCGCCGTCGCCGATGATGAGGTAACTCGTCGGCGGCGGAGAGAGAGTGTAATCCATCAAGCAATACGAAAACTTGTTACCGAAACGACGACCCAGCTGAGAAGCAAACGAAATGGGCCCCCGACCCAAGCCCATGACTCCATGGGCTCCATTAAAACTTGTACCCGATACGCTCTGACCCGAGATCCGAAACCCGCATCCGAAAGCGACGCTCTTTAGATACGCTTCTCTACCGGAGCTTGTTTTCAACGTCGTCGTTTCTCTAGCGAATAAACCGGAAGTTAATGAACCATCCGCGTAAGCGTACTCGTAAGGACACGTGGAATGGATCCTGGTATGGTTACATTTCGGAGCCCGACCCGGTTCGGGTACAAGTCGGCAAATCGGGTCGTAGCAATGAGCGGGAGAGAATGTGGAAGAGTGTCGAGGGAAGAAGACGGTGCCCGGAGAATGGAGAGAGCAGTTCCGGCAGGCGGAGCATTTAACCCAAACGAGATCGCTTCCGGTGTCGGCGATTAGGAGTAAAGATTGAGGCGGTTGTCCGATTCGGAGATCCACGAAGTATTGACCCGACCCGGAAGATGCGCCGGAGACCACCGGCGATTTGACGAAGGGGACTGGTTTCCGGCGGAGAGAGAGAAAATGGAGACGGCGAGTGTCTAGAGCCAGTGATTGCGTCGGAGAAGGAAACGGAGATTTGCGTAGTAACGGAAGCTTAAGGTACTCGTCATCATTGACGGCGGCGAGATTCACCGGCGGGAGGAGGAAGAGAGAGAGGAAAGAGCAGAGGACGATAAGAGGCAACATTGAGTGAGAGAGAGAGAGAGAGAGATAGAGAGAGAGAGAGAGAGGAAGAAGAGGTTTTGGTTTATTTATCTGTGTAGTTTTTAAGGGATGAAGAAGAAGAAGAGCATATAATATACGGTTTGTGTACGTGTATATTATACGATTTTGTCAGTTTGTGGTCGAAATGTTAAGTACATTGTAACGTGAAGACTGAGAGATTTCTGTTTTGGGGGGGGCATCAAAATAAAAGCTTTGGCTTTTGCAAGAAACTCTTAGCTGTCTACTAAATGTGTTTTTGTTTTGTTTCTTTGTTCCTTTCTTTCACTTTAAACAGCTAAAGCAAATCTATTTATATTTTTACTACTTTAGTACTTGAGGAGTGTGATAATAGTATACTAAACATTGAGTTTATTTAGTGTGTTTTGAGTAATCCAAAAATGTTGTCATTCACAGAAAACGTTGTTTTGTAGTCTTAGAGGGTTGGATAATATAAATTGTTATTATGATAATGGAGTAATTAATAATTATACAATACAGTAGTAATAATAAATGTAGATCTCGTTTGGACGTGAAAAGTACTATACCCGAGAAATGGACCCTGTTTGTTAGGTGGTGGCAGAAGTACTTAATTTCCACACACAAAAAAAAACTTGATCATTTTTCTTTATATGATTGCATAAAATAACAAAAAATTGTTACTATTACTTGTTGTTATATGCTAAATATCTAGAGAATAATTTTTGTTTTTTGTACGGTACGAAAACATTGAAACAAGCTTTAACCTGTATATTGTGATGAATTTATATGATATACAATTGATTAATAATCTAAAACATTAAAGAGTGAAGAAGATTCGGGCGATACTTTGCATGGCTGCACATGATAAGAAACATGTGACTTTTAAAGACAAACCACAATTATTTTATCTTTTTTTCAGTAGTTTGGGAGATTACAAATTTATTGCGAATTTATTATCTAAGAATAGTAGTATATAAATAACAAAAAAAAACACTTACAAAAACTGAATTTTACAATAGTCTATAAAAATCACTGTACTATAAATCATTTCAATATGACAAGTATGTGTGGATACAATGATACAGAGAGACCGAAGAAAAATGTAAATAATAAACTCAGTTTACAGATTCTTCATTGTTATTATTATTGTCTCCTCCACTTTCAGTTTTGGCTCTGCTTCTAAGCTCTTCAAATGCTTTCATGCTTTCTGCATCAAACCCTCCAGCAAACTGCAAATTTCATCCATACAAAAGAAAAAACAAACATTTTCAGTTATACACTTAAAAAAATTTAGAAATCTGGCCATAGTGTTTGTTAATTCTTGTTTGAATGCATTTTCTTTTTACCTGATGGACTCTAAAAGCAAATCGAACACCTTGGAGAAGCAAGAACTCTCTGTTAGGATCTTTATCAGATCCACTCACTGAATCAAGCTCGTAAGCTACTCGTTTCATGTACTTCTTCGCCAGCTGGACCGACGAAAGCTTGATCTGTGATGAAGAAAAGAAAAAAAAACAGAGCATTTCAATGATTCGTTTCACAGATAAAAAAACAGAGTTTTTTTCAGCATAGAAAGAAAGAACAAAGTTTTTACCTTTCCTACGACGCCAGAATCAGATAACCAATCAACTGGAATTCCGAATTCTTTGTATCGTGAAATCGCCATGTCTCTTGTACGTAAAAGTGCGTATACACTTTGTTCAACCCTGTGAAAAGCAGAAATCAAAACATTAATAAAGAAAGATTTGGTGTGATACTGCTCTGCTTTCGTGTTGATAACTTACTTCTCTAGCAACTTGTACATCTTCTTCAAGGCTGGCTCACAAGGGAGATTAAGATCATCGACAAAAGAAGTCACTTGCTTCTCCAATTTCATGAGATCTTGATACTCAAAAGCTGCTTCTCGTAGCGCATCAGCTTTACCTTCTGGCCAATCAAAGTGTTTTAGAACCGCCCTTTCATCAACCTACTCAACAAAACAGTGATTGATTCGTGAGTTAAAAGAACCGAAAATAGCGGTTAGAAAGAAATATTGAAAGGAGGAGTTAATAACCAAGAAGGAGAGCTCTTCATCTAGCCAGCTCACGAACGCCAAGAGATCTTCTATGTCTGTGAAAGAAGCAGCTCGAACTTCAGTTGCTAACGACTGTACAAAGTCACCTTGTGTCTCTACATCCGCTTTTACCTGTAATCAAGTTTCAAAATTTGATTTTTTTTAATCCCTTTGAACCAACGTTTATATTGAATCTACTGCGTAAAAGTGTGAACTTACTGCTAAGAGGAACGTTGATCGATTTTCGATTTCTCCAATCATACTGCTCCTAGCTTCAGATGAATTACCAGTTCCTGAAGAGATCAAAGAAGGTGCACCGTCTTTCTTCGCTTCACGTTTCATCAATGACTGATAAAACTCAACTAACTCAGGAGCTCGGTGAACTTTGTTCCCGCTTCCACCTCCTCTTCCAAGTGCACCAGGAGGAGGCGGTGGTGGCGGTGGCCCACCACCTGGAGGCCGCGGAGGCCCACCACCAGGCGGAGGAGGAGGTGGTGGTGGACCACCACCAGGTAAAGGAGGTTTTGAGGAAGGCACATTGGTAGTTTTACCACCAGATGATCTTGGAGGCGGTCGTGGAACTCTAGGAGGTCGTTTCTCAATGTCCACAAGCTTCATTTTGGTCACGGCTTGAGCGTTTTCGCTGGCTTTAGTTTCGTTACCATTACCATCGTTAGACTGATCACTTGTGGTCACTCTCACTGAAGGAACCAAAACTGATTTCTCCTTCAATTGAGCAAGCTTGGGAGGCAAAGCCACATTACCTCCAAATCTCTCTGCTCTCGCTTGATCAGCTTTATGCTTAATGTGCTTCTCTCTCTCAACCGCCAGCTTATGCCTGTCTTTGTACGCTGGATACTTCTCATCCAAAACGTTATCAACGGATTTAGACATCACTTGAAACGACGCTGCAACGGAATTCAAAGGCTCACCGGGAGAAGAAGAAGCTTGTTGTTGTGTCCTGATTCTTGGAAGATTCGGAGTTTCAGGGGTACTTGGACTTTCTTGATCCACTTTACCAAACGTTGTTATGGCTACGGATTCTCCTGCGTTTCTTATCATCAGAGACTCTAAAGGACCTCTCTGTTTATTCATGCTCACGCTAAGTCTTCCTGGTGATCCACCATAGAATGATCTTGAAGGTGATGATTGAACGCTAGAATCGTCTTTGCTTTTGCCCCATCTCTTAAGCTTCTGAATCAGTCCTGGTTTCTTGCTAAAGCTACTGAATCTACTTGTGGAACTGTCCATTGAAGCGTTGTCGAAATCATCGCTTCCAGGAGATGAAGGTTGAGAGAAGTTGCTCTCTACATCGGTATCTCCTTGGCCACGCTCAGAGCCAGCATACTCTAGCATCAACCGTTTAGCTTTGGCTTGGGATTTGGGGCTTAGGTTCTTGCTTAAGTCACGAGCAGAGATTTTACCAGCTGGTGTCTGGTAGTTTCTTAACTCATACCGTAAACAAGCATTGACCCAACGGAGATAAACCAATTCCTCAACTTCACTAAACCTATTCATCTGAAGCCCTTCCACTTGCTTTAACAAATCCTCATTGTTATGCTTCAAATTGTTTACCTCTTCTCTTACTTTCGCCACTTTATCACTCTACCAAAAATAAAAAAAGACAGAAACTTTTAATCCAAAGAAAGAAAGAAAGAAACTTTGATGCAATGGAGTAATCATTACACTTTACCTCAGTCATGTTTGAAAGAGCTGAAATTCTTGCTTCTGCGGAATCGAGTTTAATGGTTAACTCTCTCTTTTCGTGTTGAAGCTCTCTGTTTTTTCTCTTGAGTTCCATAACTTCCACTTCCAATCCCTGTACAGCTTTTAGCTTCCTATCCACTTCGCTGTCTTTATTCATCGCTTCTTCTTCTTTCATTTGAAGACTCGAGACATGCTGCTTAAGCAACAGTAACTGTCCTTTGGTCTGGTTAGCATCGAGCTGGATTTGCCTCTGCAACTCCTTAATCTTGTTTCTCGCAACTTCAAGCTCCTTTCTCACAACACCGTTTTGCGTGATCTCTTCTTGAAGCTTTTTCCTCTCGGCTTGCAGAGAATTAATAGTGATGTTCAGCATATCAATCTCAACAGTCTTGATCTTAAGCTGTCTTTGTAACTCAACGATATCCGATTCTTGCTCTTTGAGACCATAATACTCAAGCAATTCTCCTTCGAGTTTCACTTCTCTTTCTTCTAGCTCCTTAACCAATTGTCTCAGCCTCTCAAGCTCACTATCGTTATACGCCATCTCAGTCTCGTATTCCCTCTCTTTCTCTGCTTTCTCCAAGCTATTATCATCACTAGGCAATGGATACTCAATCTCACCAGATAAAAGATCTTCAAACTCGGGTAAAATATCATCATCATCTAAATAGTCCGAGAAACTACCACGAGTCTGATTGATTACACTGTTGATCAGTTTCACCTCTTCTTCTTCTTCCTCCTCCTCTTCCACCTGCAAACATTATCCGATTTGTCAACAAACATATCAATTAAAAAAAAAACAATTTTGCAGAGTACACTTACATTCTTATCATTGAGATTGTTGTTGGGACACACGGCCTGTTCTTTGTCGCCTCCTTTGCCATTTTCTTAGAGCAAAATGCAGAAAACAGAACAAAGTCAGAGTCCACAAATGCAATCAAATAGAGAATCTGATGGTTTAAGAAAAGAAAAACTACCTGATGGTTTGCTCGGTTTGGAGGGTTTACCGTTGAGCTGCTTAACAGCAAATGCTGCAACGGAAGCAGCAACAACAAACCCTACCCGCACAATCATATATTAGAATCTTGAAACTGTCTCATCTACAGAAGCGAAAAGAAAACCTCCTCCAAAGTTTTAATACCGGATAATTAACTCAATCCATCGTTCCCTCCAAGGAAAAAAACTTTAGTCCAAATCCAGTTCATGAACCTTATAACATATGGATAAACACAGACACTTGTTCCAGTAAGAGAAACTCCCAGATACTGACAAAACTTTAAACAACTATGTCCACCCAAGAAAAGAAAGAAAAAAGAAGACACTTATCATCAGAAATTCGATCTTATCAGCTTTATGGACCTCTCAAGTCTCTCATGCATCAAAAGCCAAAAATTTTAGCATTAAATTAAAATTTAACAACCAATAATAATAATGGCTGTATTTAGCACAAGACAGATGAGGAAATAGACATGTATGGTAACAGATGGGGTCTTAAAAAGCCATGACCAAGAAGCGACATACATTTGTGATATCTAAGCAACCGTAAAAAAAAGCTCAATAATTTATCCTTTTATGTCCATGTTGGTCAAAGCAGAAGATTATATATGTCTCTTGTGTCAAAGCATTTTACCAAACTAGACGGTGAACTAAACACAGAAGATGATTAAAGATAAGACATTCATTTGTCACGCCACCAAATCCAGACCAATCAACTCAATACAAAGATTAGTGATCTCAAATTGGTCCGCTCCACAAAATCTTATTAACAGGGAAAAAATGTGAGACTTAGATTCTGTAGTGATGTTTTGGGGACCAGCATCAAGTAGAGGTGTGTTGCCACGCTACGTAGCAGTAACCAATTATAAGAAAACAGAAAGGCTGAAATTTAGTTACTAATGCCAATATTTATAGTTAAGTGGTAGAAAATTCAGCCAAACGAGAAAAACAAGAATGGCCTTTTCATTATCTTCTTAAAACCCCCTTTTTTTCTCAGCCTTAGATTTTTCACATGTTTTTGCCTTTTTAGCCACTATCTTAAAAACAAAAGTTTTGTATGTGTGAATGAGAAGAGATGACAGAAATCAAGTTCTTATATAAGATTGTAAGAAGAATCTTACATGATATGGTGTGGAAACTCATATTAGACCTTCACTAGATTCTGATTCTTTCTTTTTTACCAATCTGCACAAAACAGTTAAAGATTAGAATGAAGATAAAATTTGATTTAGACATTTGCCAGTGAGGATCAGGACAAGTGCTATCTATTCAGCATTACCAAATATCTGTTTTATTGTATGGCAGAAGAATTTTCTGGTGTCAACAGCTCACAAAGGATACCTCTCTCAAAAAAAGACAAGAACAGCTTTAATTGTTTCTTGTCTGGTGAAAAAATTTGGAATTCATCAAAAGATAAACTGAGAATTGCGTAGATAAAAGAGTTTGAGAAACTTTCTTTTCTATAACAAAAAACGTAACTCTAAATATGACCCAGTACTGATATGACTGTAACTATGAAAGCGAAAACCTAAAAACAAAAACTGAATGTCTCAAGGAAGAATAAGTGGATTCAATCAAACCAATTACAATTAGATTCGATTTTTGAGCAAACCCAGCTCGTGAAATGGAAGATTGAAATCTTACCAAATTTTGAAGTCAGCGAAGAAGAAAAGACCCGACTCACTTTCAGTTTCTTGATGTTTCTTCTTGCGTTGCTGATAATGTCGATTCTTGTTGCTGGGGCTTTGATATACTTGAAAAGATTCCATTCCATTAACGATTTTTGTAAATTGCTGTTCAAAAATTTGAATTTTCACAGACTTGGGTTCTTTTGCTAAAGTGTGAGAATAGTTTGTAAATGATTAGATTCTAGAAACTATTCTCACTTTTTCTTTTGAAACCAAGATAGTATTGTTCCAATTGAAATGAAGATTTTGAATTACAGAGAATCAATTAAATTGTCATTTCCCCAAATAAACCAACAAAACCAAAGTATCTGGCTTTTGGCTTGACTTCAGATTTAAACACTCATTTGACAAACATTCAACAAAACAATTTTGTACAATCTCAAGATTCAAACAGAAGGATCACAAGTTTTTAAAGAACCGTGTCCTCCATTGATTCAAGAATGGTCGTTCCATTTCCATCTTTTTCCCGCCTCTTCAAGAACCTTAGCTCTAGCTTGGCTTGCCTTAGCTTCATCCTCTACCCAAGTTCTGCATTTCAACCACCTCATTATATATAAACAACATTTGTAAATAGATCATAACTGGTTAAAAGCTTTTCCAAAGATCAAAACTTTACAAACTGGGTCGTTTGAGTTATTACTATAATAACCATTACCTGAGAATCCGAAGAGCTTCGACTTCAGCTTCGAGGATAGATCTTTTGTCAAGCAGCGATTCAAGCTTCGACTGTAAATCACTCATCATCTCTTGTAACTTGCTGTGCTCAACCAGATAAACAGATTTATCAGTAGTTAGCCTTTGAGACATCTCGTCGATATCATCTCTCAAGCTACGAAGCAACTGTTTCTGACAATCTATGGCTGCTTTTTCTTTTAAACGCTCGGCAAACCACTTCAGCTGAGCAGTTTTCTCTTCTTCTAATTCATTGACACTGGAGAGATACAGCTCTTCCATCTCAACTCTTCGGGATCTCTCTACCTGAAGCTTCTCATCCCAAAACTGCCTTATTTCGCCTTTCTCTACCAACTCGGATCTGATTTCTTCCATCTCAGCTTTCCGCGAGAGGAACTCTGCTTCTAACCTTGATAGCTCAGCTGAAACAGCTTTCGCCATTTTACCGCTTGTTAATGCTACAGCCGCTTGTGCTTTTGTCACAGGTCTATTTGGCTGAAACCTCTTGATCCTACCTGTATATTTTAAATGAAAAGAAAACTCAGTTTACTTCAAAAACTTTGAATAATGCCATTCAATATAACTGAGAGGTAGACGAATGATACCAAAAACGTTTCTGATAGTACTCTTGTCGCCGGTCAAGGAGTCCAAGAAGAATCCGAGTGCTATATCGGGATTGATATTCTTCATATCTATATAGTCTACCTTTGTCCTTGATATCTGGACTGTAAACAAGTCAGGTTTTTAAAATAACTGACAAAAGCATCACCATTATGCTCAAGTGTTATAAACTTTTATCACACCTCTTCCATAACTTCTGGGAGGAAATCACACTCCAATTGAGCTTTCCAGTTTACCAAGTCGAGTCTGGAAACAAAACTGCAGTCACCATATATGTATAACACAATTAGCAATCAACGAATAAAGAAACAAACACAATAACAGATGAAGAAATCTTAAGCCCATTATACCTTTCAGGATTAAAATTAATGTTTCCAGTGTCATGTCGAGAATCTTCCCCGGATAGCTTGCTGAAAGTAATGCCTGCCTCTGCCAATGCTGAATGGCAAATAAAAAGAAAAACAAAAAAATCAATAACAGAAACGTAAGTTCGATAGACACAAAATAGAAATATCTTTATCGATTATACCTTGTATGTACTCGAAGTCAGGGTCTGTAGTATTCACATCTTCAAATGCAGGTACTGAAGAGCCAGCTAAAGCTACCGCTGGCACAATCCTGTGCTTTGGATTTCTAATGGCAACAAAAAAAACCATATATTTATCACTCGTTTGCCACAAACACTAAGACTTTTATCATATCCGGAAAAATTGTTTACTCCAATCATTACCTCTCTAATAACAAATTCGAACGAACTAGCCATCTAGAATACTCTCGTCTGGTACACAACTCGTCTCCCATTACATCGTCTTCAATTATCTGAACAACTTAATTACAAGTGACATGTTCATGATCAGAGCTGGACATAAGGTTCAAATAATGCATAAATTCAAGTTGTTGTCTGAGAGAAAGTTTCTCGAAATAAACCTTTAGTTTCTTTAAAACTGCTATTGCTTCTTGTTGAGCAGCATCCACGGGAACTGGAGCGGTGATATGGTGAGCTTTTACGGTTGATGCTAAAGTAAACAGGGGAAACACGAATTAAGACTTGTTTCAAAGCAATTATAGCAACAAGCTATGTATTCTTCAAAACAAATATTGACCAAAAATAAGAACGTACGAGGGTCAACAGTATCTGAAGCATCGTCAACACTTTCGGAGATTGCCTCAGAAGCAGAATTCTTCTCATCGGTCAAGAGCGAGGTCGTTCTTTCACTCTCTTCATTCTCATTCTGATCCAAATCCACATAATGCAGTGGATTACTAAAGCATAACCTAAACCCTGTCAAAGATACACAAAACCCTGAATCTCAGATTAAACCATCAAATAGAATTTATATCACCCAGGATGAAACAAAAATAGAGTTGAGAAATTGTTTTGACCTTTTCTCGAGATTGAGAAGTAAGCTATAGTAGCTAACAGAACGGCAAGTGACGATCCAACACCAGTGATTACAACATTCCGCCACTCTAAACCCAGAAAAAAAAAAATCAAAATTTTCAATCAATTTGCAACACGAAGGTAAGAAATTCTTCAATTCGCTCACTAGACTAGAAGAACCCATTATGTGGAAAACGAGAAAGACACTAACTTTTTTTACTTTTCCAATGAGGAAGAGGAGCTTCATCTTCAATAAGAGCCCAACCACCATATTTGTCTTTGGAAGCTTGAGAGACCCATGAGGTACCGGAGAGAGACGCCACGACGCGTAATCTCGGCGGTTTGTGAGTGGGAACGAATAATGGGAGAGTGAAACGATGCCTTACAAGTAAAGGAGCGAATTTTGGGAAGATGAACGATGAATTTGGTGACTTTCTAATCGAAAAAGAGCACATTTCCCAAGTTAGGGTTTTTCTTTTTCTATTTCTTTTCTGGGTGGATGCTTCAATTCGAAGAAGTAGCGAGAAAAGATGGGAAAGAGATGCTCCTGTGATGTGATAGTGCGAGTACAGTGCCTAACCTTCTGAATCTCTCCGAGGGTTTAGTTTGCGTTTATTTTCCGGTATAGCTTTAACCGTCTCGGTTAAATCATTATGCTCCTAAATACGTGAGGTTGGCGGTTTGCCATGCCATGCCATTGCCAAGGGTTTAATTTGTGAAGTTTGTGAAAGAAACACGAGTATGTCATTGCTCCTAATCATTATGCTTCAGAGGATTATTGAGATAAAAAAGTAAGGAACACGAGTATGTAATAGCTAAAGTTTTAAAAGAAGAATTTGGAGTCATCCATTTGTAAAAATGATTAGTCAAATTATTTTACTCTGGAACTCTTTTTATTAAAAAAACCTCTCATTACAATCACATATAGTATATCCAACATATAAGAGCTACAATGATGTAATGATCGGTTCTCTCTGTGTTTTTTTTTTCTCACTTTTTAAACCATGTGTTTCATATTCTTCTTTTACTTGCCCAATTTTTTAAGTCACAACTCTTTTTAAAATTCCAATTTAACATATGTCTCTCAATTAAAGGTAAATGCTTCTGCAATTCAAGTCAAAGTACCTCTCTCTAATCAATATGCTATCAGGATTTAAAAGTTTTTATAAGCTAATCGTGCTTCCAATACCAAGACATTGCGCTTTTCCAAAATTTTACAATGAGAATTCTTTTTGTGGTTCAATATTTATAGTTTAGTATATTGAAAACAACAACAATGATTAAGTAAGACAGTGTTAAGCAAATTTTCCTTAGTGACAATCAAATCCCTTAATAAACTTTAGATTAATTCACTATACAGAGACCAAATTTGGAAGAAAAAGGGGACAAGTGCACTCTCACGCGGACGAGGAGGAGACTAAGGACAAGATGAGATATGGAGAGTTTAGGGATTGATATAGGAGGAGAGTATGGTTTATTTTTCAGAGCATCAGTTTTGTAATAGATGTGTTAAAGGCACAAATAAATAAATGGTAACAAGGTGATGCTCTAAAAAATAAACCATAATAACAAGGTGAATAGCTGTAAGAAAGCAAAATAAAAATAAAATAATACTCTTGTTAATAATGAATAGGCTTTAAATTCAATGGCTGCCTTGATCTATGTGCTTCTGCATCCTACTTTCCACATTAACCCTCTTCCCTTTTTCATCTTGACATATCTAAGTATTTTTCAAAAGAGAAGAAGAAGAAGTTAATACGTGTGTGTATAGGTTATGGGAACAAAGGCCACATTTACTTTCTTATGTGACAGAGACAACAACATATAACCAAATGTCTTTCTCGTTACAGTCCCTCGATTTATTTTCCTTTCTTTTTATTTATTTATTCTTCTTTCTTTCTTGTAACGTTTGCTGCTTTGAGCTATAATGAGAAACCCATTGACCCCCAACGACCTCTCGCTCTCTCTTCAATAAATAATAATCCCATAAGATAAAGAAACCCAGAGATAACCCCCAAAAGAATTTACACAGCAAAATCACAAGCTCTTCAGTTTTATCCTTATTTCCTCTGTTTTCCGCCCACAATGTCTTGGATTCACTCTATGTTTTTCCTATTTCTCGTTTTCCGGTGGTGCATCGCCGGAGAATCATCATCGCCTGAGGTAACTGACGATGGAGCTCCCATGGAGAAATCAGAGAGAGAAGCTCTTTACTCAGCGATCCAAGGATTTTCTGGTGATTCTTGGAATGGCTCTGATCTTTATCCTGACCCCTGTGGTTGGACTCCTATTCAGGTTTTGTTTGCTTTCTTGTCATTTTATTTTTATTTTTATGGAAAACTTCTCTCGTATAAACTTTGATTTCTGGTTGAAACCATGTTATACTTTTGTAATTTGGGTCCAAAAAAAACATATTGTTTTATTGTATTTTGTTGAAGATACTTGGAAAGAATTTGTTCTGTAGTTGTCTGAATAATTCTGTTTTAAATTGTCTGTTCACTTTGAAAATTCCATAACCAGTAACTGAAACTTTATAGCTTCAACGCATCAAAGTGCATATCCGTTTACGTATAAGATCTAATTTTTGTTTCTTTAAATGTATTCCAATATGGTTGGCTTCAATTATATATATATACACATTTGGCCGGTTGTCCCTACCAACAAATTCCTTCTTTATTCTTTCAATAATTTGGAACTTTTATTCTTTGTTTTTTTGTTTGGATTTTCAGGGTGTTTCTTGTGATCTCTATGATGACTTGTGGTATGTCACGGATCTAACCTTAGGTCTTATTCACGAAAACTCGATTTCTTGCACCGCAAGTTTGAAGATAAAGCAGCAGTTATTCGAGCTCAAGCACTTGAAATCACTCTCGTTCTTCAACTGCTTCACGTCGCCGATAACAATTTCTAAAGAGGATTGGACAAGCTTGGGAAGTAACTTAGAATCTCTCGAGTTCAGATCCAATCCCGGTTTAATAGGGGAACTTCCTGAAACAATCGGAAGTCTCACAAAGCTGAAATCTTTGGTGGTTCTTGAAAATGGGTTCAATGGAAAATTACCGAGGAGTGTCTGCAATTTATCGAGCTTAAAACGGTTGGTTCTGGCGGGAAACTTGTTCACCGGAACGATTCCAGATTGTTTCAATGCGTTTAAAGATCTATTGATCTTGGATTTGAGTCAAAACTCTTTCTCAGGGACATTGCCTTCATCTATCGGAGAGACAGTTTCATTGCTTAAGCTAGACGTAAGCAACAACCAATTAGAAGGGAAGTTACCGCAAGAAATCGGGTTTTTGAAGAATCTGACACTTTTGGATCTGAGGAACAACAGAATCTCTGGTGGGTTATCTCAAAACGTCGAAAAGATTCGATCTTTAGCGGATCTGATTTTATCAGGAAACCCAATGGATAGCGATGACGTGATGGGGATAAAGTGGGAGAAAATGAGCAATTTAGTCATTTTGGATCTTTCAAAGATGGGTTTAAGAGGTGAGATTCCTTCTGGTTTAACCAAGTTGAAAAGATTGAGGTTTCTTGGTCTGAACGACAACGAGTTAACCGGCACAGTCCCATCAAAAGAGCTTGAGACTTTGCCTTGTCTTGGTGCTCTCTACATCAATGGAAACAATCTAACAGGAGAGCTTAGATTCTCAAGAACGTTCTATGAGAAGATGGGAACAAGATTTAAGGCTTCAAAGAATCCGAATCTTTGTCAGTATGATATCGTTTCAGAATCTCGGCATTATGTTCCTCCACTTGGATTGAAGCCTTGCCAGATGAAGAAAACAGAGGGTAATTTGGTAATTCTACAAACGTTGAGCAACCTTAAGAAGAATGATGAGTCAAGTTCATCAATGGCTCTGATGGTTACAAGACATGTGTTGTCAAATGGGTTCATGTGGGATTTGCTTTTGGAGCTTTCTCTTATTGTATTATTGAAATAATTTATAATTTTTTTGTTTGTTTGATGGTTAATAGTATCGATGTGTTAGTTGATAGATTTTGATGTCGGTTACTTAAGAGAAGAAAATCAAATCCTTATGGATGTAACAAGTCTGATTTCTTCTCTCTCTGTCATAATTTAAACAATTTGTATATGTTTGTTAGGTTATTCCTTCTTAAAACTAAAAATCTCGGATATTTTCAATTTAACAAGCTCTACAAGGTTTTTTAATATAAGTTTCGGATTAAACGATTGGTACTTGTGACCATAAATGTTAAATGCTTTAAATTGAACCTGCAAAGCATATATCCAAAGATAGCTAACTTTGGTGTCTCAGGACTCTATCGCTGGCTTTAAACAGACAATACAAAACAAACCAAACAAAGCCTTGTATTGCCTGGAATTTTCTGACTTCGTAAAGAGGGAGATTTAATGACTATTTGTGAAATTTTGTTATTACTTTATGAAATTTAAAAGTAGATACTGATGAGTGTCAATTAAAGATGAGACAGTTAGGGGTTTTTAGTATAGACTGAAAATCTTCTTTTACTTTTTACTTTTTTTTTTTTAAGTAGGCAATAAGCTTTTTACGATCATTTATAGCTTTCCTTTTCTTTCGTAGCCTCTGTGTCATAACTGCTTAAGTTATTATTTGTTCATAGGTGGCGGCTAGTGTACTTTTCTCACTATTTAGTAGTATTTACTATAACTCAAAGATGAAGATAATTATTTGGTTGTTTATACTCCATTGCAAGTGCAACTACTAAGTAACGAGCAAATTGGTTGTTTAATGAAATATTTCGTAATAACAAAAAAAAATCTGCTTAATACTTCATAAATTGACTACTCTTGAATACTCCTTATCATTCCACATGCTATGAATCAAAACCAAGATTAATTTATAGTAAATTTCAATCAAAACTATTAATCCAAATAGGTTCTTTTTTTGTTCTCCACCATACATTAATCCAATATGTACGTGTTCTTGGAAAGTAGAATTAAAGTCAATGATGATAGTTCCCTTTTACTTAAATGATTCTTACGAGTTACAATGAGCCGTACGGATAAATAGTAAAGTTATAAATGAGTCTGATTTCTCTTTTATTTACAATTATGTAACTCATCTTCTTGATCTGGCCATGAATTTAATGCTCACGTCCTTATTTTCTTGGCTTGTTCATACTGTAGTTAATAAACTTAGTTTACGTACTGAGTTATGGAACAACTTTTTTTTTTGTTTTTGTTAGATAACTGTGGAACAATTATCGTCTTGATTTGATTGATATTGTTGGTTGGAGATTGGAGATACTAATTTTGCAAATAATAGTATGCACTGCAGCTCTTTTGTTCAGTGTCATAATAACATGTCTAATAACTCAAGTCACAAAGGAAAAGGTCCGACAGGACTATTAACATAATAATATGATATTTTTCTAATTAGTTAGTTGGTCAAAATTTTAAATTATTTTAAATATTTACGTTATACATTAATAAGATACAGAAGTTATGATTTTTGAGAGCAATGTAAATAATATCACTCCGGAAACCTAAATACGTAATAAGTGTACTGACTATATATCATTTGCTGGGCTTTGCTAGGCTTTAATAAATAATGCTCGTTTAGTTTCGGCCCAATTATAGTAAATCCTCTCTCCTTCATTTTTTGAACAGATAGTCTTATCAACTTTCTTGCTCCGTCTCTCACTCTCTCCCCAAAACCCAAACAGCACATTCTAATAGCATAGTTTATGTAACTACTATTTAAGATGGTATGCTAATTTAGATTTACTAACCGAAAAACCAAAAAAAATGATTTTTCGAGCCTAATTCACAATTTCTCCTAAAACCAATAATAAAAACTCAGTAACCCCATCATTTGAAGCAAAAACTCCCAAAATCACAAAAAACTTGTTCTTAATCTAATCTTTAGATTAAGCAAAGAGTGTATATAACAAACCTCATCAAAGACAGCACCGATCATTTGAAGACCAACGAGTAGACCCGAGGGACCTCCTTCGACTAATCCACAAGGTAATACAATCGCAGGATGCCCCGCGAGATTCACATTGACCTGCAACAATCTCACATTGGACGTATTTTATGTAGCCTAAACGTGAAAAGCATGAAGGTCCTTTTTTTGTGCGTTTACTTTCATGCTTTGTTAGGTGAAGGGAATTAATTTGTAATTTAACCTTCTATATAATTTTTTAATACAAATGTAGGTGCTTAGTATATTAAATCATCTTATATTTTATGTTCTTGCAATTGCATTCATGCACTATTTCCATGTCCTATGAATAACACGGTTGTATCATTAATCATTAACACCACCTTGTTTCATATAATATGATGTTTGAAATCATGTACAATTATTACGAATATTTGTAAAATCATCAACTATCTCTCCTGATACAAAGGTTAAGACAAAAAATAAGGAAAATTGATTGATTTCTGTCTTCTTATTCTTAAAAGTCAGAACATTTTTATATAACAATAAAATGGTAAAACATCTCATGAACCAAATGGAGTATACAATATGACGTTTCTGTTAGTGATAAATCTGAAGTAAACCGTACGAAAAAGGAAAAAAATGTCCTCCACAGGTACCAACACGTATCTTAATAAAGAGCCACAAGCATTACAAGCTCAAATTAATAAATTATTGGTACTTAAAAAGATTAAATAAAATGAAACTACCTGGAGATGGAGTATAAGTATAGATCACTTTGTTTTTTCTAGAATATTTCAGACGAAATCATGTGCTAACCCATAATTATGCAAACATATTAGTATCCTGTAATCTAGTGGTCCATGCGAATATCTGTCTCCGGTGGAGGATCAAAATCCAACGGCTCAAAATCACGCGTGTGCAATGTTTGACATTTCGTCTACTGCATGAAAGTCGCCACCTGGCACATGCAAATAATAGTATATCTTTTGGTCACTAAAATGAATTATGCAGATGATTTTCCTTGGACGATATGTTTAGTTGTTGTAACAGAACAAAGTTATGAGTTAATAAATCATCTAAATATTAGTTGCCATAAATAATTTTTAGAAGAATTAATAACTATTTGTTATGATGGATTAATTGTTTGGTGACCCCAAATAACGGAACTGATTTTCCAACCCCTTTTTTATAACCATTTGTGTGAGTGTGCAACTGTGCATGTGACCTAGTAAGTCACCTATGATGATGAAGATGAACTCTTTGTTTTTGTGATAAACTTATATTATTTACGCAAGCGATCATGTAAACAAAGGTTGTATAAAAATAAAGATAGTAAGATAGAATTACTTTTCGTTCACATCGAAGACGCAAAGAATCATTTGAATTCGCGCCTAAACTTTTGATTATCCATTAACATCAATGATACACAATCACGTATTATTTTGGTGCTCACATAATGTAGATATTAATATATATATATATATATATATTAGTATAATATATACAAAGCGTACATAACTATATGATTTTTCTTTATTTTACCAAAAAAAAACTATATGATTTTTTTTGAAAAATGTGATTTATACATATGAATATATATAATGTTAACTTTCATATACTACAAATGGTTAGTAGTTTAATTTTACAGACAACTTGAGGTAATCACATACACCATCCTCCCCACGTATAGTCGAACTCGGCATTTCAAGCTTAGTAAATATTATAATTTTTTTTTTTGTTTTGTTCACTTTCGTTGACCCTAAAAAATTTTCAAAATATTCTAAAACTCCATGGCTTGCGCGTCACTTCTCCATTTTCTTTGCTTTTCTTGTTTGACCGATTTACACATACAATTGTGCACACCTACATATATGATATATTTTATACTGCACACAATATATGTATATAGCCATATAGGTATATATTGTACATATATCCGCTCAAATCTTAAACCTTCTAAGAGTCCAAATTCTATATAAAACCCTAGCTAGTGGCTATAAATCGCTGTCTCCTCCTCCTTCTTCCCTCTTCTTCTTTCTCCGAAATATTATATGAATCTTTCTCACAAAACCATGTTTATGACTGTTTATTTCCTCATGTTCCTCTTGGTTTTTAGTTCCTGCAACGCCGCAGCGAAGATGGGACCAATTAAGGTTTCTGAAATAAAAATAGTTCAAACAAGATCAAGGCCATCAAGACATGAGTTCATGGAGGGTTTTAGATTCAAAGGTCGTGTGTTCCACTTTTGGTCTAAACGGGTACTTGTACCACCTTCAGGACCTTCCAAGAGGCACAATTCTGTGGTGAACAATCTCAAAAACTAATTGGTTTCCTTTTTGTTTTTCTTTTTAAAAAATTTTTGTTAATTGATTTTTTTGACAGCCATAAAAAATATATTTAAAGATTCCTGAAATTTTATTTGATGACCCTTTTAATTTATGTTTTTTTTTTCTTATTATATATTTCATTCACATTTGTAATATCTCGTTTGGAAAGGATACGTATATAGTATATACATCTCCTTTTCCCGCACCATTGTATTTGTATATGTATCTCTTTTATATATATCATAACTCTTTGTAAATAATAGGATTATCAAAATGGATGGACTAATCTAACTTCCGGATTAGAGTTTTTAATGAATAGATATTTTGTGATTATATATTAAGTGATTTAACTCTTAGCCATCAAACTCACGGTTTGATCTTATATTTAAAATAAACACATTGGTTTTCAAGGAATAACTCAAAAAGAATGTCTAATGTATTTAATGTTTGAACGTTTAGCCTTAATTTAACTTAATGGTAGTTTTGAACTCTATAATGGATAAGCTCAAGAAAGGCATGAAAACTAATTCACGAAACTCGTATAATTATGAAAGTGGTTATACAATGCTAATAAACAGCTACGCTACGCCAACGCAACCAGCGATTTATTACACCTCTGAATAAGTTATCTAAGGGCGTTAATGAAAGTTTATGTCATCCCAATTTTCTGGTCCAGGAAACTTTCCAGCTTGTAGACCCTCATCACATCTTTCGGACTTTTACATATTTTCTTAGACGGTTTGAAGTTGTGTGCTTATGTGAGCCTTAATTGGAACCAAAGAATGATTGTAATTTGTACTCACTAGGACCTTCGAAATTGACCGATTAAGCTCGAAAGTTAAGAACACCACGAATTACAACGAGTTCAGGATTCAAACTCTTGAGTCCTTATGTTTCACCGGTAAAAATGTCCCTTCTATTTTAAGTTTATTACAGAGTGAATAACAAGCCTGAAGCAAGTGCAAGACCATGATTTGAAGTACCTGTAATATCTACTCAAAACTTTCCAGCCTTTCAAACAAGTTTTTTTAAAGAAGTTTTTTTGGGTTAGTAATAAATTTACATTTTACAAACGTTTGCATTATGATGATCCAGTATTGACATATGTGAAAAGAAACAGGGATTTCATTAAAAACATTGCATCTAAATAACAATTTTCCATAGTTGATATTACATCATTTAAACAAAAACCCAAAATCAAAACACATACTTAAATTTCTTGGTCCAAATATTACCTTGTTTAATCATACTAATATATGTTTCCCTTTAAACCCTTAGAAAATACACACTAAGCTCAGGCCCACCACTAGACCCATCAGGATTCATCATGTAAAAGGCCTCCGAATCTCTGGACCCGATAACCCGCTCGAACCGGGCTCTCATATACATGAGCTCGCCTTTCTCGGACCCCACCGCTTCATTCCCATCTTCCGCCACCGTCGCCGTCGCCGCCGGCAAAACTCCGGCACCCATCGTAATGGGTCCCACAGCCTTCAAAACTCTCCACTCCGCCTCTCCACACTCTTTCTTCGCCGCGTAGCCGCATTTTTTGCCGTTGCAATAGGTACGCCACGTGGACTCTTCAAGAAGCTTCTTTGAACCCGTCTTAAACGCTGCCGTTTCGAGCGCGATTCTCACGAGCCCCGAAGCCATTTCCTTGACGAGAACGCTCGTTGGAGTCGGTAACTGGATCAAAACCGCGGGTAAACGGGTCGGATCATCCTGTACGGCGAAATACACGTGTCCACGACGGTTTCCGAATAACGTACCCACTACCCGGAAACCCAGACCCGAATTTGAGAACCCAAGCGCATAACGGATCCTCTCGATGGTTTTTTTCTTCTTCTTCTTCGTTATTTGTTGAGTATCGAATTGATCCGGTCGGGTCGGGTCGGAGGAAAAGTTGAAACGGGTCAAGATCTTTTGTTCGTTGTTGATGAGATCGTCGTCTTCTTCTTCTTCTTCCTCGTCGTCTTCTTCTTGAACCTTCTTCTTCTTCCAGTTGAAGTAACGTTTAGAGAGAGAGAATGAAGAGTCGAGAGAAGTGGTGGATAAAATTGATTTCATTTTTTTATGATCTTTCTAATGAAACTGAGCTTCAAGTTGAAGTTTTGGAGTGTACCTCTAGTGCTCTCTTATATTGGTCTTTAATGGAATTTTTTAATGTTTGTGGGGATTGATTTGATTTACACTAATTTAATTTTTAATTACATCTTTTTATAAAAAGATGATATTTGACCTTTTGTATGATTTTATTAGTCTGTCATTTCGACTGTTTCTTCAGTTTTAAAATATCTTGACTAATTTCACGTATGAGTATTTTGATATATTTGTATATCGTGATTTCAGTATAATAATATCACGTATGATTCCTTATTCAAATGTTAAGACTTGAATTTTGACTTCAAATTACAGCGATAAATGTGAGAAATTCATTTTCATTAATAAATCTGTGTATAAATTGTGACATGGGAGAAAAGATACGGCACTTGACTATATGAACCGTCCAAATTCAGTTAGAAGCTTAGATAGTAACCAAACTAAAGTTAATTGGTCCGGTCTTCTTGGACTTTACTAATTTATAGATTATCGTAAGCTGGAATTAGAATTTAGAAGTATTGGTCTGTAGGTCTAGGCAAAATAATCCGTCGATCAATTATATAAAAAATTAAGGGATGTGAGAGATTTTCTTCAGCTAAAACTTAAAAGAGAAAGATGGATGTGAAAGAAGATAGACGTAAGAAAAAAAGGAAGAGGTGAGAGACTAGAGAGGAAGGTGAGCAGCCACCACCTAACCCTAGATTAAGGGACTGTCTTCATTGGGACTCATGAATAAGACATATCACACACCAAATCGGCATTTACATTTTGTCTTTTTACACACACACATGACACATATATCTTCTTTTTGACATCTGTATTTTACACACACATATTATTATTGTTATTCAAAATCACTTAAAATCTAACGAAATAGTTCCTTTATTTTAGAGATAAAATAGAGAAATACATTAGAAATGCTTTTAGGAGTTCACAATATATACCGATCATTCATATGGTAATTTATCCACAACTAAAATACTAGTTCCAAATGCTACTATATATATTATATAGTTGGTATTTCGAATCATTTATTGTTGGTATATCGAATCCTAACTAACATAAACATATATAAAGTATTAGTTTGGTTGGATTTTTTATAATTTTGTTTTATCTAAATGACTGTAATGAAAGTTAAAACTTATTACGTTCATAAAACTACAACATCAAAAACGTACCTCCCCCTCCCCCAAAACATTTCAAACAGAAGTCGAGATTTCTCACAATCAAAAGTCGATTACAGCAAATAGGTAGGTATTTATTAGTATATGTTAACATATAGATTTAAGGAGACAAGAAGGTGTGCGATGGAACTCAATCAATGTCTCGTCAATAGTGGGGGCTACAGAGTTGACAATTTACTTAGTCTACCCATTTTCACTCGAACACGTATTAATTTGTTTATACAATCTTACCGAAAACGCAATGTTTCTTGTTATAGTAATATTTGAGGTCTCCAAGAAGAGAAACCCTGTCTTTTATAGATACATGAACAAGTGTTTAAATTATATATTGAAGTCTGATTGTTCTTATTCACTGTGTTGGATGTGAACTCAATATCCATACGAAGTTTTTTGTATTTTGTGATTTATGTAACAATACTCCCTCTAATAGACGGGTTATTTAGCAATGAATTACTTTATGTGCTTATAGACATCTGACTCTTTTTGTATAGGTTAAATGTTGATCACCAAATTTGTATTATTTTTCCACTTTTAAATGAAAACCAGAGATTTTATTTACAAAATTTATACAAATTCATCATTGTCACATCACGGGAAAAATAAGATGGGACAAATTACGGTAACATCGAACCAATCAAACGTTGTCTGTGTTGTTTTTTTCCACACACCTACACTGCACCAACAAGCCTGCTTTTCTTTTCTTTTTCTCTTAATTTCTTTACATTATAAACCCTATTTAACAATTTTTGTTTATTTAACAATTTTTGTTTATTTAACAATTTCTTTACACGCCTTATTCATAATTTTATCAAATTTAACGTTCAAAATTCTTGACTTTGTGAGGATGATAGGCTGGAATTTGGTGTACCATTTTTCATTTGGTGTCAAAAAGGACTAGTAGGAAAGCATGCGCACTTATCTTATATATCCTATGATACAAAGCTTATAGCCTTTTTTTCTGATGCAACTAGATTTTGTGATCACTTAAAATATGGGAACATTATAATAAATAGTTGACATTGATTTTTCCCGGACTTAGCTATAAGTCTATGACTACCGTAAGGATTAAGTATTTTTTTTTTCTTCGCACCAAAAGGTAAGTTTATGTATTTAAATATTGTTATCTACTGTATTTCAATAAAAGAGATATAATGTATTTTGATTTATTTTACGCCTTTATATTTTTTATTTTTATTTACTATGGTTTTAATTGGTAACTTTGGTTAAAGGTTCAATCGCTCATCTGGTTACTAATCGTACAGAAGGATGAAACTGATTTTTCAAATACAGTGGAAGGAACGATTTGATTATTGAAGCTCAAACAAGGCAGTTAATTTCTACTTAATCTCTTACATTAAATGCGTAATTTAAAGTTTTTATCCAGCAATTCAGTAAGAGATTGGTACACTGTTTTAAACTTTTACTGTCAATTGAAGACAACAATAGCTGGCCGGCCAGCTCTGCCGTCCACAGCTCCACAGCATTATACTCTATAAGTGTCATTTCAATAAAATTGGTAATCTAAAGTTAAGTTGGAAAATAGTACATAAATAATGTTTTTATACTTTAACTATTGGTTATTGTTTTTCTTGTTACATCTAATTCTGAAAAATGTGACGGACCAAACATCTTAAAGCAACCAACTAATTGTACTAGTGCATACAAAACTAACCAAATACGACTTTTATGAAAACACATCAAAAATGTAAGTCAATTAGTTGGTTGCTTTTTGATGTTTGGTAAATCAATATAAACAAAGTAATTTTACCAGTTGGTTTACTTACCGGTTCTCTAGACAACTAGAAAAAGTAAAATGTAATTTAAGAAAAAAAAACATGATTGGGGATCCTTGAATGTTCGTTAGATTTGTTCGGGTATAGCAGACTGAAGTTTGGCTTAACGATATACCAAACCAACGACAGTATCGACTGTCGTTTCATCGGCTAAATCTAATTCTTTGTAACTACTCAACAAACCTTTGCCAACGTGGAATGCGACACACTAAACAAATCGGATACTTAGGGCATGTGCAATGGGAGAGACCTTCATGAATCTCTTAACCATTTTTATATTATTAAGATGTGTTTAAAGACCCAATTAAAAAACTTGCATTTTTAGAAAGTGCAATGGGAGAAATCCAATTAGATTTCTAAAAAAAGTTTATAATAATAATTTATTTTAAAGAAGGATTTATAATAAAAACTTTTATTAATACAGACTTAATACAAAACATTAATACAAACTTTTATAAAAAACTTATAATAATAATTTTATTAATACAGACTTAATACAAAAACATTAATACAAACTTTTATAAAAAACTTATAATAATAATTTTATTAATACAGACTTAATAAAAAAGCATTACAACAAATAAAACATACATTATTACATAAATTTTCAGTTTTTATTTTATTAAACTGTATATTACATGAAAGAATTAGGGGAAAAATTCTTTTATTTCACCATTTGTAAAAATACAAAGAGTGTAGAAGTTTAATGTAATAATGTTTTTGAAACCAGAAAAAAGGCAATCAAGCCTGAGGAGAAGACAAATGTTTTCAGAACATAGCTCTCCATGAATACCAAACTGAAACCAAAGTGGAGAAACACCAAGAAACACTTAACGAATCAAGAAGAACTTGTACCGGCACAAAATGAAGCAGGACCGGTTTAGCTTCTGCAGGAACTTTTCCCGCAAGTTCAGGGGCTTTCAAGAGATGTACATTGGCAACAGATGCAATCTCAAACACTACATTGCACAGTCTTTCTCTTGAGCTCATATCCAGAAGGATATCTGATCGTCCTCCTTGTTTCACAAACAACCCGTGTTTCTCAGTGAGATTCGCAGGATGTAACGGTAACGATTTCAGTAGCAAGACAAGACCACTGGCTTTACCGATGTGTGAAGCTGCATGATCCGCTGCTGTTGATCCTCAACTTCTCTTTGAGCATCACGGATTCTAGCTTCAACTGAGCGTTTTAGCCAAGGTTTACTGATGTTGTGCTCTGATATGGCCCAAGACAGAGCTTGTGCAGTGGAGTGGTTTATGGGTTTTTTGGTGTAGAGCTTGTCGATTGTTTCTTGCCACCAAAGTAAACGCATCAAGCCGATTTTGGGATCAGATGCAACATCCATGGCTCTTGCGGTTTCCACGTTGAAAGCTCGGAGCGCAAATGCGGCTTTACGCATCTCGGGTGGGAGCTCAAGTAGACAGAGGTAGTGATAATAGTCATAGTTTCGTACTTGTTCTCCTCTCCTGCAACCATATAAACCACAAAACAAAACAAAAGATCAGTTGATATTGACAATGGTTTACGTAAACAGTAACCAAAAATCAACTAGAGCTGATACTCCAACAATCACCATTCAATTATAAAAAAGTCGATAAGTCTCACTATTTCATAGATTCATGAACAAATAAAACTCATGCAGGAATTATAACGAACACCTGGTGGACAAAGCACTCAGCATTGGTAATTAACAAAAAAAACGATACCTCTAAACCTTTTTATTCAACCATATCATCGGAGACATAGAATCTAAACCCAAAAATCTAAACAAATTGACGAGACTCTTCGCTTACCTTCGCGAGGAAAACAAGGATCTCGAAGCTTTAATCCATCCATACTCGTCGATTCCACCAAGTGGATGATGAGAAGACATCGCCACCTCCGTCTGAAACACTCGGCGACGAAGAATCCCGATGGAATCGATGAGTCGCGGTTCGACGGGGAGAACGAAGAAAGGAGAGAAAAAATTTTGTCGGGTAAAAAAAAAAAGAATGAGGACCCAAAACATAATTTTTTTCTT